TTCGCCAAGACAACTGGATTTCACATATTTGCTCTGAAAACACGCACAAAATAAATGCCTCTTCTTTCCTCAAAGAGGATTATGTCTCGTGATTAAAGACAGGTAACCACTGAATTTCTTTCAGATAATCTGGAATGAAATGTCACTTTTCTCTATTCTGGTTTCTCTCTGGGTGAAAGAACAAACAGAACTGTAAAAAGTTCAAAGTTCTTTTCTCAGCTGCTGCAAGCTTCATACTCTGTAGGTTGCCATATGTATTTGCGTTACGGAAGGCAAAGACTGTGATAAACATCATTCATGAGTCTGTCTGGTTTTTGTTTCTTCCATTTCATGGCATATCTGCTCTCAAGGTTCTCAAAAATCATTTAATCCAAGATCCTTTCCTAGACAACAATTCCAGAGATTGCTTGTTTTATGAGTCTCCAAAAGGCTATAATAATACTTAAAAGCAAGGGAGGAGGCAAAAGATATCTTTGAAAATTACATTTGAAGAAGGGAGAATGTAAATGGAATTAGCTACTCCAAGTGTTGAGAGATGTGACCAAGTTTAGGGGTTAGTTCACTTAAGTGCTAACTTTTCACTCAGATTATTCAAAATAGCATCTATTTCAACTTGGATTTGTTGCCGAGCTAACCTTTTTAAAAGTACAGTAATGTTTATATCTTTGTTGTAAAAACTCAAAACAGTGCAGAAAGAGTGAGAAATATCCAAACCATGAGGCCCTCACCCCTGGTTCCCCAGTCCTATTGCCCAGAGGGAACCACTTAAGATATTTTGTGGGGCTTCCCTGGCGGTGCAGTGGTTAAGAATCTGCCTGCCAATGCAGGGGACATGGGTTCGAGCCCTGGTCTGGAAAGATCCCACATGCCAAGGAGCAACTAAGCCCATGTGCCACAACTACTGAGCCTGTGCTCTAGAGCCCACAAGCCACAGCTACTGAGCCCACGTGCCACCACTACTGAAGCCTAGAGCCCATGCTCCGCAACGAGAAGCCACCACAATGAGAAACCCGCACACCACAATGAAGAGTAGCCCCCGCTTGCTGCAACTAGAGAAAGCCAGCACACAGCAACGAAGACCCAACGCAGCCAAAAATAAATAAAACAAATTTTTTAAAGAAGATATTTTGTGTATCTTTGTAGACATTTTCACTGCATGTATTTCCTTCACACACACACACACACACAATCATAATATACTCTCTGTTCTGTAATCTGACAATACATAGAGCTGAACAATAGCAAGTGAGCCATTGATAAGCCATTGTAGTGAGGTGGTTTTTCTGCAGGGCTGCCAGTGTGTTGCCTTCATGGGCAGTAAAAAAAAAAAAATTGTGAAGATGGGTGTGGAGGGTGCTAGGGCTTTGATGCCCCAGAGCCTCTTTCTGAGCAAGAGAAAATCATCATGGCTTCCCCTCTGCTCACTTAAAAAACCCATGTACCGAACTACATGGCAGGGGCTGAGTTAGGCTCTGGGGACTCTGAGCCCAGTCAGAGAAGCATGGCCCTTGCCCTCGTGGGGCTCTCAGTCTGCTCTCCTTACAAACCACTGTTCCCAGGAAAGCATCTGCTCATCAACTCTTTCAAGCCAACCTTTACTGAGCACCTATCATGAACCAAGTGCTATTTTAGACACGACAAAGATGAACAAGGTTCCAAACCTACCCTTCAGGATCACAGTCTAAGGGAGAGATAGATTACTGTTACCCCAAGAGCACTGTGAAATACGCATGATGCTATTAAGGAGGTAGGATGAGGTGTGACTTCACTTAGCCCTGAGGGGGGGAGGGGAGGGGAGGGTTGGGAAGCTTTCCTGAAGCCCCAGGGTGGAGTTTGGGTGAGGTAATTTCAGGTGGAGGGGACAAGGCAAGCAGACACCTCTGTCAGGACATGTGGGGAAACGGCAGCATTTTAGGGCTGCTGGAGCGTGTGGAGCGGGGTCAGAATGTGGAGAGCTTTGCACACGTCTGAGGACTTCGGGTATATCCAAGGCAATGGGAGGAAGGGGGGCTTGTTTAGGCAGAAGGATTGGGGTGGGCTTAAAGAATCACAAGAGCTCACTCTTACAGCTGTAGGAGGCTGGGAAACTAACCCAGAGACTGTGGCAGAGGGGTCCAGAGGAGAAATGATGAGACTCTAAGCCAGGCAGGGGTATTTAGTGGGTAAAACTATCTGGGTGTGACAACAAGTTGGATGTGAAGTTTGAAAACAATGGGCGGGTTTCTGGGACTTCCCTGGTGGCACTGTGGTTAAGAATCCACCTGCCAATGCAGGGGACTCGGGTTCGAGCCCTGGTCCAGGAAGATCCCACATGCTGCAGAGCAACAAAGCCCGTGTGCCACAACTACTGAGCCTGTGCTCTAGAGCCCATGAACCACAACTACTGAGCCCGTGTACCACAACTACTGAAGCCCATGCACCTAGAGCCCATGCTCCACAAGAGAAGCCACCGCAATGAGAAGCCCACGCACCACAACCAAGAGTAGCCCACACTTGCTGCAACTAGCGAAAGCCTGTGTGCAGCAACGAAGACCCAACACAGCCAAAAATAAAATATAAATAAAAAAATAAATATTTAAAAAGGGATTTCCCTGGTGGCGCAGTGCTTAAGAATCTGCTAGCCAAAAAAAAAAAAAAAAAAAAAAAAAAAAAAAAAAAAGAATCTGCTAGCCAATGCAGGGGACATGGGTTCGAGCCCTGGTCCAGGAAGATGCCACATGACATAGAGCAACTAAGCCCGTGTGCCACAACTACTGAGCCTGCGCTCTAGAGCCCGTGAGCCACAACTACTGAAGCCTGTGTGCCTATTGCCCGTGTGCCACAACAAAAGAAGCCACCGCAACGTGTAGCCCCTGTTCGCCGCAACTAGGGAAAGCCCGCTCCAAGCAACGAAGACCCAACGCAGCCAAAAATAAATAAATAAATAAACATAAAAGCTAAATAAATAACCACTCAATTCTACCTTCCCATCCCACCCTCTTAAGATAACCAAGTAACCTGCTTCTCCTCCCCCTGTCTTCAACCCAGCACAGCTAGTCCCCACAATGCCCCTGAAACTGCTCTAGCAAGGGTCACCTGTGAGAGGGGTCGAGTTCCCAGAGCTCTCGGCAGCACCAGGCTCCGTGGCCAGGCCTTCAACTCTCTCTTCCTTTGCTTTGCCTGACGTGGCCCCCTCTCCCGGTCTCCTTTACCCCACACGGCGGCTCCTCCATTGGCTTCCCCACCTCCCCGGTCCCTGGTCCTAGAATCAAGTTCCATCTTCTTTTCAGATTCTCCAGATGCGATCCCGTCTGCACCTCCACCTCCACGTGGAAGTCTCCCAGTTCTAACGCCATTCTTCCAAAATCCCAAAGTCAGGTGTCCAACTGCCGGTATTCAGCCACAGGAAACTTGTCCAGAGCTCCTTTCTCCTCCCTGCCTACATTCTCTGCCCGCGTCAATGGTGCCACCGGCGATCATCCTCCAAAGCCCGGTATCTGGAGCCACACTTAGCTCTGGCTGGACAGGGCACAGATGCTCCACTCTCTGTCCCCACCTTTGCATTGCTGTGCACTCTGTCCTTCCTTTCTTTAAAAAATACATTTGACACACACAAAACATTATCTACAAAGTCACCACCCCAGATTTTGGCTTATTATTCCCTTTTTCCTTTATTATTTTTATGTTTAATACATTACATACAACATATTTAATACATACAGAATTCTACGATATACATGAGTTATAAAGCATAATAAACCATAAACCTACCATACAACCTAAGAACGAGAACATTACTAATAACCAGCAACTACCCATGTGTCCCTCTGTTATCCGCTCCCTCTGTTTCCCTCTCAGAGGTAAGCAGTAGGTTAAATTTTGGTTTAGCATTGTTTTGCTTTGTTTCTTACAGCATAGTTTTGCCATTTATGTACGCATAGACAATGTACTCTTTGGTTTTGCTTGGTTTTGAGCTCAATAAAAATAGTCTCAACCATACCCTGGGACTTGCTTTTTTTTCCTTAATATTTTCTGAGATTCATTCTTATTGTCAGGTATAGCTGTAGTTCACCTCTTGTCACTACAGAATAATATCCCGTAGTGTGAATATACCTAATTTACTTAAACATTCTCTTGTAGACAGAATGGCATTTCAGTTTTTCCCGTTATTAACTATTATGAAGATGTTACTATAACCATTTTTGTACACACCTGCTGGTACACAAATGTAAGAGTTTACTGGATACACAACTGGGAGGTGGAGTCATAAGCTAGATCCTGAAGTATGCAAATGTTCAACTCTGTGAGGTGTAGTTGTTCTCTAAAGCCGAGGTGCCTGTCTACACATCCACACAAGGATGAGCTCACATTCAGCACCTGGTGCTGTCAGACTCCTTAATTTTACAAATCTTGTGGATATAAACTGCAAGCTCATTGTGGTCTTTATTCATATCTCCAAGGTTTCTAGTTTCTACTCATTTATAAGCCCTATGTATTTCCTCTTCTTGTGAAATGTCTTTTCAAGTTTCTTCTGTTTTTCTTTTTTTCTGTACTTTCTAATTTTTTTTTATTACTCAAAAAGGGTTCACTTTTAAATACAAAAGCTAAATAAAGCTTTCTGACTCTGTGCTTGTACTTTCAACACTTTCACAACCATTTTCTGCTCCTCAGTAAGGAAAGTGTACCCGATCCTGTCACAGACACATTTAGCACACACGGAACCACCATAGGCCCGGCTGACATGTTTTTTTGTTTTAGACGATCTCACAAGAACTTAAAAGTCTCACAGTGCGAACTCCTTGAAGTCGGCCTGAGCACACGCCACAGGCGGATTTTGGTGTTTTCCTAATCTTCTTGGTATAAAGGTAAACAATTCTATTACCAGGGGTTCGGGACAGGCTGGTTTTGTTAAGAGACTGTATTGTAGGACAGCCTACAATTGTATGTCAAACGCTGGACCATCCTGAATGCCTCTAGATACCGTCCCCGGAAGAGGAAGGCTATTTTCTGTTTTTTTAAAAAAAAATAGGAATTCTCTATGTATTCTGCTTACTACTCCTTTCTCGGTTAACTGTATCGTAAATGTCAAGTCTTGGTTTGTCTTTCCACTACACTAAATTGTTAGCTTAAGTGCTAGTTTTAATATATTTGATTTAATCATCTTTTCTTTTATGATTAGCATATGTCTCAACAGATTCTTTCCGGCCCTAAGGTTTTTTTCCATGCAAACATTTAAGTATTTGCTTTTCGTAATCAAAACCTTAATGTATGTGGAATTGACTGCTAGGTGAGGTGCGAGGCAGAAATCCATTCCATTGTTTTCCATAAGGATAACCCTTATTCTAGCACTACTTATGGAGCCGCGCTTCCTGCCCCCACTGACCTGCCGTGCCACCTCATCACATCTCAAAGGGCAGCATATACACCTGCGCTATTTCTCAGGCTCCTTAGCTCGCTGCACTGCTCAGAGCGCCTACTTCTGCACCACATACAACACAAACTCTGTAATAAAACTTACTGTCTTGTAAAAGGTCCCCTCAACCTCCTCATTATAGTCAGAAGCAGCCCGCCATCTTCGTCCTTTGCTGTTCCACAGATGTTCAGATATCTGCCTGTCACATCCAACAAAACCTGTTGGAATTTCTGCTGGAAATGGCATTGAATCTGTAGATCATTTTGGGGAGGTTTGATACCCTTACTACCTTCATGAACAAAGACACTGTGGTTCTTCATTTGTTTCTACTTGCTTCTTCATCTTTATCCTGCAAATCCTCAGTCAAGCCTTAACCTAAACACTGCCTGCCTCAAACATGCATTTTACCTTCTCAGCTGAAAGGAGGACAAGCGTGTCTTTCATGTGCAAATTTTTTAGATAGCTGCAAGAGTCCAAGAAAAAGATGGGGTGTGTTTGAGGTTTGTTGCTGAGTACACTGAGAATTCGAGAAGAGTAAGATGACACTGGTTTGAGACACACCGAGTCTTCGGTGTGATTCAGTACAGAGGAGTCTGGATAGATTGCCCACTGAAACTGTATGACTAAGAAGTTAACTAGTGACAGGCTCATGAGGACCAGGCTTTAAACGGGCAGAGGAAGAGAAAACTATGAAAGTAGCTAAGAAATTACAAGAAACATGGAAGGTAAAACAGAAGAGTGAAGTCAAGGGGGAACCAGGGAAAGGAGATTTTTGAAGAAGTGGTTAATATTGCCCAAACCCAGAGAAGAAAGATCACTGGAAAGGCCATGGGATCTAACAATTAAGAGGGCACTAATGACAGAAGAGATGGGTAAAAAAAACAAACAACAACAAAAACCTAACTTCACTGAGTTAAAGAGAGTATGGGAGGAGAAGGTGGTCGGCAGAGTAGACACTCGGATATTTGTCGAGGACAAGCCTGAGAGAAATGGAAAGAGGGCAGACTCTTCTCTAAATGAGCTCAGCTGTGAATAGAGGGAGGCTGACGGCAGAATATCTCAGATGAGAAACAGGGCGCTGTAGGACCTGACCTCAACCACCATCCCACACACCAGCCTCCACGTTACAGACAGCAGGGTGAGCAGCAGAGTGAGGAAGGTTCCGAACAAGTGCTTCTTTAGAGGGAAAAAATGAAAATGGGATCCCTAATGGAAATGATGAGAGTGAGTGAGTGGATGTGAGAGCCACGGACGTTGATGACAAGGAGAGGTTCTGGACGTACCTGCAGAGACACAGAAAAGACCCCGGCTGCAGAATGGTCACCTTCCTGCCTTTGAGGTCACCTGACATAAACTAAGGGGTTTTCAAGCTATGTTCTATATTCTTTAATGAACATATAGGCACTTGAACTTGCACAAACTGTTTTTGTCTTTAGATAAAAGGCATCCATCATGGGATTAGATCAACAATACATTTAAGGAAGCCATTCCAACACATAACTAGTTGAGAAAAGATATGGTGCATACTTAAGGAAACTGGGAGACTCTTAGCAACTGTAATTCGGATAAAATACATTAAAATATTTGGAGGGGGTTATTCTTTCTTAAAGAAGGATGTGCCACCACCCAGAATAACATACCTGCTATGGAAGAGAAAATAAGTCCTCCACCTGAGCGTCTCGGGGAAAATGAGTCCCCGTCTCAATCTAGCACAGATTAAATGGACCTAAAGAAAGCATACAATTCTCTTCACTTTAAGGGCAAGCGATGCCTAAGAAGGCATGTTACTCTGCAGGTAAACATGTATATGCTACAGTTATGCAGGATTATCGTTTGCTAAGGTTTTTTTCCCCTTTCACCTCCAATGTACCTGAGTGTATATTTGATATAACTGCTTTGGGGCAAGGCCAGCTTACATCATGAGGGGAGGGGGCACTGTCTCGCAGACAATGAAGGCTGATGGTGCCTATGACATAGACAGTAGCTTCTCTCTCCAGTCACTGTGTTCAATGGGGCTCTAATCCCAGAAAGGGTACCTAGTATATTCAACACGGTCGTTCCCATATGCATTTCCCCAGTATCTTTTCACCTCCATTAATCTCTTATTCCCTTTCCATGAGCACCTACCCTGTGCTGAGCTCGGGGACCCCCTAGAGATCTCTACAGAAGCTGCCGTCTATCAAGCTCTCACTGTGCGCCGCAGCCCATGTTACCTGCCTACGTGCATCACCTCCTTTAATCCACACCTCATGCCTGTGAGAGAGGAGCTAGTCTCTCTTGTCTCCATTTCACAGATGAGAAAATCGTGCTGATACTTCAGTCGCACAGCAAGAACGCGGCAAACCTGAAACGCGAATCTGGGTGTGTCTGACTTCAAAGCCCTGGTTCTTAACCATCTCCCTGCGATGACCACAAACAAGTCCACATGCTGTTCCCATATCGTGCGAGTCTGGAGCTGGGGCAGCGCCAAAAAGGAAGAACTGAGTGGAGTGATGCCGCTCACCTATCCACGCTGCATGGACACGCAGCTGAGCCGAGAGCCTACTCAGTTCCGGAAAACAACCCAAGGCTGTTCACTACGCTTAGCGGCCACTCTCTCCGCCCACCTCCTTTTTCCCCCCTCAGGGTGAGGGAATATGAGATCACGAGAGGACAAAATGCTTGGAGAACGTGACTGTATCTGACCTGCCAGGGCCAGCAGCAGCCTGAGTACCTCTGATAAGCTGGCGGGGAGAGCATGCCTCTGGCCACAGGGACTTCTGCAGGCGTCTAATCGAGGCTTCAGAAAAGGAGGTCTCGGGAGAAAGAGCAGAGTGATGCTTCTCCCCTGTCAGAGTAACCGCTCTAACCACTCAGGACAAAATGCCCCGTTGCTCACAGCATCACTCTGCCACAGGGTCACATACCCCTATTCAACTGACTTTCAGCCTTTTCTCTGAGAAAGAAGAAAGAAAGAAAAGAAGAAAAAAGAAAGAAAGGAAGAAATGGTCTCCTAGGTCTGGGGTAAAAATGAAAAAAGCAAGTTGACTTGCTTTGAAATGCAAAAGACCTCCATCTCTGGCTTGTCCTAGTCCCGAGGGACCAGGGACCCCCCCGGATCTTGCTCACTGCTCTTCATTCAAAGTCCCCTGGGAAACAGCTGCTTGTTTTCCAAGAACTGTAGGAACACTCTGTTCTTCCACAAGGTCCCACCAAACGTCCACAACCTGGAGCGGCACAAAGGTCAACCAGATGCAGACAGGCTCGCGGCCGCTGTGCTGTTATTATTAAGGCACTTTTGACTGTGTTTCTTTGTGGAAACAAGTATAGACAAGGTTAAAAAAAAAAAAAAGAAGTTATTCTGTATCATATCCCAGAATGGGTCCCAGCCATTTCTCAACCTCGGCCACAGACATGCTCTTCCTCAAAGCATAATCCTCAATCTGCAAAAGATTAAAAGCAGTTTATTAAACCAAAATGATAAGACTTTGTGAACTCAAGTTTACACAGCATTCGCCAAGATACATTAAGTACGTTTTATGTCTTTTGCCTTAACAGTAATCCACTGAGTTAAATGGAGACAGATATTTATCTATTCATCGAGGTGCCTTATTTTCCGGGCAGAAAAACAACATGTCGTAACTACCTCAGGCTGAGAGCCTGGCTGGGGTGTGTGTGTGGCAGGGGTGTGGCAGGGTTGGTCTCTGTGTAAACGGCAGGGCGAGAAACGGGGCAGTGGGCTGAAGTCAAATCAGGACATAAACCGGAGTACGTCTCTTCATCCTTTCCCTCTCATTTCCTTCTCACTCACATGTAAAATGAAACAGCTCTAACAGTTCCATTCAAAACAAGACAGGCCTCTAGGGATGCCACACACAATGAAACAGCTAACCTACCTGGTCCTTGGAAATTTTCCCCACGGCAAAATATCTGGACCTCAAATTGGAGAAGTAAAGGCCGGATACCGCTGAAGCAGGTGCCATGGCCAGCGATTCTGTTAACCTGATGCCTGGGGAGAGCAGCATGGGGAGAAACGTTCGTTTATTCAGTGCTGAGACAGGCCTGCCGAGTGGTAGGCTCCCAGCATATTCTTGTTTACAAGTGAATGAGAGTGAGCTTGTGCCTTCCAGGTGGACATGTGAGACAGCATGAAAGATGTGGGCAGACTCGTCTAGCAAATTCCCGCCAAAGGGATGAACAAATTCAGGATGTGCAGATCTCCTCTAACCTGGGGGGAGAGGCCTGGAAAAGACTCTCTACATTCTTATGCCTGCCCTCCAAGATCAGCCATGGAGGCTACGCCTGGGCCTTCTAGACAAGGACTCCAACCCTGCAGATGCGGACACCACCTGGACCTCCAAGTGCACCTGTGAGGCCAAGGCCACTAGGGGAATGACAGACAGCCAGGCCCCACTGAGGATGAGCCCACACCAAGGCTATCTAGTCTACGCCATTCACATTCTGGACAAGGCAACGGAGCGACGTAAAGGCTCGGTGCTTTGCCAAAGGTCGCCCAGCTGGCTTACGGCAGAAACGGGTCCCCAAGTCCCCATCTCCTGTCTCCTGGAGCCGCTGCCATCCTGCCAGCCCAGATTCAATGAGCCTCATAGCTCTTCATGTCCATCTACATTCCTTTAACGTCTTCGGCGTGGATGGCACGCTTTTGATGAACGCCACTGAAAACAGTACACTGTGTTCACAGTGGTGCAGAAGTAAAGAGAGAGGGAGCAGAAGAGAAGGGTGGGAATTCTGTGAGACGAGGGTCCAGAGACACTCCTAGAAGTGGTGGAAGGAGAGAGCGACGTGAAATACATTATTAAAGGTTACAAAGGTCGCTCAATAGTGGAGAGACACACGTGTAATAGGAAAATGGGGCAGGGGATGTACGGGCTGATGTGAGTCAGCTAAGCTCCCATCTATTGTAGGTGAAAAGAAAATAATGAAAACTGATAAACCTGAAAATGGTGATAAAAGACCACTACTCAACAATAATTCTACAGGGCCTCCACGTGCACGAATTGAAATGAGTTTCTTTTCCTCCTGTTAAAATAATAATAATATATGGGCTTCCCTGGTGGCTCAGTGGTTGAGAGATCGCCTGCCGATGTGGGGGACACGGGTTCGTGCCCCGGTCCGGGAAGATTCCACATGCCGCGGAGCGGCTGGGCCCGTGAGCCATGGCCGCTGAGCCTGCGCGTCCGGAGCCTGCGCTCCGCAGCGGGAGAGGCCACGGCAGTGAGAGGCCCACGTACTGCAAAAAATAATAATAATAAATAATAATAATAATATGGAGGTGAAGGACTAGAACACACTGCTGGAAGTGAGAAACGACGGGATCAGGGATCTCACTGTAAGCCTCTCCGTGTCTCCCACCTGCTCCATCCGCACGCCTTCCCTCTGCTACCGTGTGTGTAACATGAGGCAGGATGCGCGCCTGCCCGGTGCTGACCTGTGTGCCGCTCCACGTCCGCCAGCCTCCACATGGTCAGCTTCTCGGTGTGGTCGGGCTGGCTGGGGTAGCCGGGCGCCGGCCGGATGCCCTCGTAGCGCAGCCTCCGCAGGTCGGCCACGGCCAGCTGCTCGCCGCCACAGTAGCCCCACAGCTCCCTGCGGACCCGCACGTGCAGCTCCTCGGCGAAGGCCTGGGGCGGAACACACCGTCGGACGGAGGCGGGAGCCCTTCTCCTGCCTTCCCTCCTGCCCTCTGTCCCGCCCGCAAACACACCTCCCTGACCCGACAGCAGGTGGGGGAACCGGCGAGAGGGATGGGCCGGGGGCTCAACTCATCTGTACTGTCATCAGCTGCTCTGCGGCTCAGTTCTGGCCTCAGCCCAGGCTCTCAAGGATCATATTCAATGATCCGAGGATCCGAGGCCCTTCAGACCTTTCTCTGACGCTCAGGCTACAGCTTGTTGTGGCCAGAAGGAGGAGCGGGGACCATGACAGCAGCCAGTGACTCTGCTGTGAGCCTCGGGAAAAGGGGAGTGGCTCCCATAGCTTAGGCTGCCCCACCCGACAGAGGAAGATGAGGGATCTACAGGCGAGCCCAACATCAGAACGAGAAGCTCTGAAACAGAACCTGTTTGGCTCTTTGCAGGGTCCTCTGGAAAACATCAAATCACAAGCACAGGGCGACGCCAGTACCAAGACAATGAAGTCAAGGCTCCACGGGCCACTCCAACTACAGCATCGCTGAAGGGTACTCTGTGCCCAAAGATGAGGCGTGAGAGTGACTCGAAAATACAGGATTTAAGAGTATGTGTGCTGTCAGAGCCAAACACACACACACGCACATGCACACGTGCGCGCGCACTCTGGCCTCAGGGCACCACGGCTCTACCTCGGCCAGCCGGTCCCCCAGCGCCTTGACCATGATGCTGCTGTAGTCGTCACACTCTTCCTCGTAGGCCTTGCTCAGCTCCTCCACCCCGAAGCAGGCGACGGCAAACAGACCCAGGTAGTCAGGGACGCCCGAGTGCAGAGGGGCGATGAAGTCCGAGAGGCAGAGGTAGGGGTCTGCGCTGGCAGAGTCCTTCTCGGCCTTGAAACACAAGGAGTGGGCAGAGTGGCCATTAGCATGGAACTGGCACCAACACACAGAGAAGAGCAATCGAGCACCTTCCCAGGAATACAGCTTCAAATGGGGCTGTTTTGTTCACTGTTACACCCCCAGCACTTAGGAGAGCGCCTGATATGTAGTGAGTGTTCAATGAACATGTGTTGAATAAATAAATGGAACGAGATTTTTAGAGAGATACGACATGGAACGACGCACACAGTCGAGAGACCAGTCAACTCGCTCGTTCACACGCTGACCGAACATTTACTGAATGCCTACAGGAACTGGAACCCTAAATAGTCATATAAAAAGGTTTTCTTTTCCTCCAAAAGTGTTTTCAATTCAAGACCCACATTAAATCCTAAAGGTATGTTCAAAAGGGGTCCACTAAGTGTGTAAGCCTCTACTTTACATCGACAGAAGCAGTTCAACAAACGGCTAAGGTCAGCAACACAGGGCCACGTGCTGTCCACCACGGGCGGTGGGTCAGGGGATGGCTAAGGACACTGCTGGGCTGGCCTGAAACCAATCAAAAAATTGAGCAGGATCTGCTTCTGGGGTTCTCTCCTCAGGCCAGGTGGCCATCCTCGCCTGCTTTCCATCTTCAGCTGATGACTGACTTATCCCTGCTACTGAGCTGACAAATAAGGTCTTACACATACTTCACAATCAACACGTTTGCTGAGAAGGTAAATAACAAATGACTAATATTTACTGAGTGCTGACTGTGTCAGGCACTGGTCTTGGTGCTTTATATGAATTAACTAATCCAATCCTCTCAACAACCTTGTGAAGTAAGTGACACCACCAGCTCCATTTTATACAAGAAATCCAAGGCAGCGAGAGCTTGAAGAACTAGTTCAAGGTCAGACAGTGGCAGGCCCATGGGTCTGATCCACAACCAATGCTCTTGACCACTATACAACACTGCTTAGGACAGATCAATTAATGAGCAGTCAACCCAGAAGCTTCACAGCTACTTGCTTGCCAGCTCTGGAAACAAGTACAGTCTAATCGACACTGGGCAAAAAACAGTTAACTGGCTGCAGACAAGAAGGTATTTGATAAAGGCAAGTGGAAATGTCACAGAGCCAGGGCCAGCTATGCAGGGAGGAGCTGCCTTCCACTTGTACTCTGCCCAACAACTGCTCTTTGCTAACAAAAGCCAGGAGATACAAAGTTTCCCAGCACCACAAGGAGAGACAGGTCACAGAGCCACACAGCTCTTTAAAATAGACAGCGATCAGAGCCACTCAGAACAGAAGACTCCCGGAGCAGTAAGTCGCTGCAGCCAGAATTTTCCAGCGTACTGGAAAAAAGCACATCCTTAGAAATAGCTATCTGGGTGGGTAATACACGTACTTTGAAAAGTCATTATATTAAATGCCCTAATACAGTCCCTCACAGACTGCCTGGACATGAATGGTGTTGGATGTAAAAAGAGGTCAGAGGACACAGGGCTTGAAGGATGGAAATTCAGGCCAGGGTGGAGGTTTCTGACCTTAATTACTTCTTTAAAAGAAAAGTCACCAGTTCCCTAGTGAGGAGGGGCTAGAACTTAACATTAGAATCCTCTTGTGTTCTGAGGTGTCTGAGCCTGAGTGCACGGAGTGAGGATGCACCAGGCCTGGGTGCAGAGACTGAGGATGTACCGGGCCTGGGTGCACACAGTAATGGTGTAGCTGTCCCCGTTTAACTTGTTATGGTACTGTTTAATGTCCCAAGTTTAAGGATTCCCTCAGACGTTGTTATAGTTAAAACATCTGACATTATGAATTACATTGTGATTATGATTAAAAGCAATACTATCACTCCTGAATGACTGAAAATGGTAATGAGACCATGCGAGAAGCACTTGCTACTGTCCTTTGTTAATGACTGGTGAATTCTGGCTCCGATTCTTGATCAGGGCAGTTTTTTTTTTTTTTTTTGCAGTACGCAGGCCTCTCACTGCTGTGGCCTCTCCCGTTGCGGAGCACAGGCTCCGGACGCGCAGGCTCAGCATCCATGGCTCACAGGCCCAGCCGCTCCGTGGCATGTGGGATCTTCCCGGACCAGGGCACGAACCCGTGTCCCCCACATCGGCAGGCGGACTCTCAACCACTGCGCCACCAGGGAAGCCCCAGCTCATTTTTTATAGCAGCTAAAGGGACATGCTTACAGATTTGCATGTTTAAAGGTGGGGTCATAGGAGAGGGAGCCGTGTGGAGGAGAGCCTGTTCTATGACCCGGGAGAAGCCAGTGGCATGAGAGAACAGCCATCGGGGTGTGGACAGGCTGGGCTCTCCCCTCCAAGCTGCGCAGCTCAGCGCACTCTCCATCAGCTTTCGTTTTCACCTCTGCAAAATGGAAACATATAAACTGCCCAACAACAGGTTGTGTGGAAATGAAACAAGATGGTCCATTAAGTGCCCTGCTAAGCAGCTGGCCCCTGGTAGACATCCAGCGAATGTCTGCTCCCCCCAACCCCGTCTTCGCCTTGAGAAAGGAGCCACCAGCCTATTTTAATGACAGGCCCGGATGCAAACCCATGTTCTTGAGCAAGTGAATGTCCACCTGTGCATGACCCCCCGAGGCAGCAGCAGTGTTTCTCCTCACCCATCCAACCCCGACAGGAAACACCTCCCTCCTGCTGGTGCCCGAGAGGCCCAGCTTCTAAACCCACACTGGCCCTTTCTCTATATCACAAATGCCTTGAGCTCGGGGCTGTGACTGGTCATTTGGGGTGAGGTGGGGAAGAGCTATGCTTACACAAAGTTCAAACTTACATCATTCTTATTTATGTTTTGTGAGTGCTTAAAACAAAGAGTAGGGCAATGTGTCCGCTGGCCGCACGGCCTCCGCACCTGCTGCCTGAGTCCGTAGAAGGTGGCGATGGGCTCCACGGCCTGGGGTGCCGCGCCCTCCGCATACAGGTGGATGTCGTCCTGGCTGCTCTGCGCTGGCCAGAACCCAACCACGCCCCTGGCGTGGAGCTGCTTCTGACTAATCAGTGCCTGCAGCATATTTTGGGCATCATCATAGACTTTTTTGGCTTCTTCACCTGTTAGGAAAATATCGTAAGAATTCACTTAGAAATGCCAATAATAACCAGCAAAGCATGCTTCTTTTTAAAACTACTACCTCTCCTCAGTCATCTTCTCTCTTCACCCCTCTCTTTTCCCCTCAAATACTTTAAAAATCAGTGTTTGCCATCAGCAACCCCAGGTGCATGGCTAAGTGTTCAGCAGTTCTGCTAAGTGCAGCTCCCATACACAGTCTGCTTTGCCAGCTCAAGCCACTTATTTTTCCATTTAACAAAAGGTAGAGAGCCAGCTCTTGGCTCCGCGCAGCAATGTGTCAGACAGAGAGCGAGACAAGGCAGGCCAGACCCTTCCACCACCACGTTCCTCATGCACAGACAGCTCCCCTGACCTCACCGTGACCCCTGGGGATGCAGAACAGCCTGAGGAGTGGAGTGTGACTTCAGTGCTGCTCCTGGATGGCCCAGCCCAGGGCCCATCCGGCCCTCACTTGGTTCCGGCGGGAGCCAGCGGGGTTAGGGTTAGGCTTTCTGTCCGGGCCTGGCCAGCCCTGCTTCAGCCACTCAACTGCTCATCTGTGATCACCCGGGAGCAGATCAGAATGAGAGGCCCTTGCCCACTGCTGCACCTTGGCTAGCCTGGGAGCCGCTGAGTCACAGCACCTAACACGCACCCCAGGGCCCCCCCAGGAAGTGGGCAAGGGCCACTCTCCCAGGCTCCCCTCAGCCCTAACCCCACACACCCACCAGTCCACCCCCCACCTCGCTCTGAGCTGGCTGTTACAGAACCCTTTGAAGGGCTTAGTGTTTTGGTCCCATGTCTCTGGGGGCAGGGCTGACAGCAAGACGCAGGGCTAGCAGTTTATCTATCAACTAGCTTGTCACCCCCAGCCCCTCCCCAGCAGGCACAATAGCCTCCTTGCCGGTCCCCAAATCAGCCCACGTGTCTGTGCCTTCCCACTCGGTCTCCTCGGCCTGGAGTGTCCTTTTCTTCATCACCACCTCACATTCCCAGTCCCAGGCCCAGTAGCTCCCACTAATCTTCAAAAAGCAGTTCAAACACCACCTCCTCCAGGAAGCCTCTCCTGATGTCCCACTCTGAGGTCTGACTCATTTCCCTGTGTCCACAGAAGCTGGGCCTTGGTCCCGCAGCACGAGCTCATCCTGCTGTACGGGAATCACCCTCCAATGCTGCACCAGCCAGCTGGGTACCAGACGGCAGCGATGATACATCTTCTTTTTGATACATTTTTCTTTTGTTTATCCCCAGTGCCCAGCATGTAACTGATGTCAATAAACATTTAGTAAAGAATGGATAAATGAAATGCGAAATGTAGTCAGTAAATAAGGACCAACCCAGCAGATTACAAACTGTCAAAGAGCCGAGCGGATGGAACAGTACCTTTCATCATGTCGTAACAGTAAACTCTCTCCTGCATAATCCACCCCGCTGCTCACCATCTATTCTTGTCTTCAAAGTCCCAAGATCATGTCTCAGATACCAGAGCAGGATGGAAGGACTTACTGAACTAACCTACAGCTTTGTCGTCAAATATCTTGGGAAAGCCTCGGTTTGGGTATTTGCCCCGGAGCTGCCAGACATCGAAGAAAGGCTTCCAGTCAATGTAGTCCACCAGCTTCTGCAGGTCGTAGTCTTCAAAGACCCGAGTCCCAAGGAATGTGGGCTTCACTACAGGACAGAGTGAGAGGCGTGAACCCTGGCGCCGGCCTGGGGCTCAGTGCCACTCATGCCTGGTGCCGCCTGCGGGAGGCCTTCCCGCTCTGTTGGCTCCCACGCTCCGCCTCCCTCCTGTCACCCGGAGGAGTTGTTTTACAAAGAGGGGAACTTGAAATTACTGAGGAGAAGGAGTAATTCGCCAGCACATCTTAAAAAAACCTCTTCTTCCCCTGCAGCTGACTGACTGCACCGCCCTTGGAAACTCTTCCCTCAACCCTCCCCACCAACACCCCCGCCCAAGAAACAAGACAGACTGGGGTTGATCTCACTTGTACAAATGAAGATGATACTAAAAGAAAGAGCACTGGAGAAAGACACATGTAACAGGCCACTTCCATAAAGTTTAAAAACATGAATCAATAATCAATCAATGTATTGCCTACTGAACATATGCACATAATCGAAGTCTGCGGAAATGCACAAAAATGAGGCATCAAATTCAGGATCCTGCAGGGGAGGGAGGGGCTCACAGTAATTCCCACATGTATGGTTTTGTCTTTTTTAAGTGGGCAGTAGCTTATTCCTTAAGTGCCTGGTGGAGATACACGAATGTTCAATACAGTCTTCTTTACGCCTCCTTGTGAATCTAAAAAAGATCCTAAGTGAAATACTGGTGAAGACTTCAGAGACAGACGGTGCCACTGGGCTTCCTGGGGCACCAGTACCGCCCCACGCCACCAAGTCCCGGTTGGTTAGGCTGGGGTCCAAGGTGACCACTCCGCTGCCCGCTTCCCAGCCCTCACGCCCTCAGTTTCCTGATCTGCAAATAAGGATCAGAGAACTTAAACTAAAGCACCACGCTCAGGTGCTCAGGGATAACATGGAAGTCTCAAGAGTGTTTTTCCCTCGTTAGACAGTAACAGTGAGAGGTGAAAGTACAGGAAAAGAAAAGTATGTGCAGCTTCTTAATTTTGCCTGGAAATCTCTACCTTTTGACATAGTTCATGGTAGCTTTCCCCCATGTGTTCCTGGTCATCTTTTTATTATACAGGACAATCCTTGCTTTGTAAATATTCCATTATGCTGGTTTGTTTGGTAATGAAAAAGAAATTACAGCTATTCTCCTGACTGAAGTGCCACCCTGCCTGGAAAGTCAGGGAAACGCTCTGCTTCCGGGTCACTCAAGGGTGTTATTCTTGAATGAGCTTGTCGGCCAGAGTTGGAGATGTGTTTGAGGTTTTACCACCAAAGACCTAGAGAGAAGAACCTTTCCTTCTCTCTTTATTGACTTCTTGCAACTACGCTAAGGCTGGGTTGTCCTTAGGGGCCCTACATGGGGCTTAAACAGCCACTTGAAAAGTGTCACTACTGCCACCTGGTGCTGCAGGCCTTCGGTGGACTATTGCCACTGACATGTATTTTGGACGCTTGGCCTGGCTAAAATGGGCTCCCCCTTGTGATATTTTTCCAATTTCATACTGAAAGGAAAAGAGAAAATAATAGTTTGGACTATATAGTGATTTATATTTTTTCTAAGGTTTACATGTCTTATTTTATCCTCACATTTCCATAAAGTAACTCCTTTTTTACATATTAGAAACTGTCAAACATGGAAGCAATATGCTCAAGGTCACTTGGGATCAGAACCCAAGCCTCCCAGGTCCCCATCTGCCTTCTTCTCACTAAACCGCACTGAACTCAGCAGGACTGAATCTAGAACCCAGCTCATCTACGTTTCCAATTTAATCCACTCTGCTGAGTGTGTGCAGAACACGGGGGTCGTGAGCAATGAAAGTGGATGTGAGATGTTACCTTGGAAATACAGATTCAATTAATATAACCCCTGTTCACCCTGTCTCGATTTTGCATTCGTATCACATGCCTCTTTGAACCTGTCAAAACGTCTTACACATTTTATTCCTTCATGAACACCTATGCAAGGCAAGAAAAGTGGCTAGAAATCAGAAGGGCAAGAAACCAAATGAAAGAAATCAAAAGAGGGAAGCATCCAAGAGAGAATGAGAGTGAACAAAAATAGGAGAGCCTGCTTCACTGCTATGTTTTAAGGTCTGTTCAATGCACAGGCATTTGCAATTTCAGACATTCCACATCTGCACTTGGGCCCGCCTGGGACCTAGGCCAAGGTAGTGACAGCACCACCCAGGCAGGTCTCTAGAACTGGCTTCAACCTGAAGGAGGCCCACTCAAACAAAGCACAGAGGCAAGAGTATGGGTTTAGAAGACAGATCAGAGATAGAATGCTAGTAACCTCCCAAGTTATTACCCGAGACTCAGTTTCTTCAAGTAAAAGTGGGGATAATAGCACTTCCTGTGTCAAGGACTCAGAGCCGCTGCAGGTCAATCTCAGGACAGTGTTTAGTTCTCCATAAATGGCACCTGTAGACTTTTATTTTTGATCATCACTGAACATAATTAAGAGTTTTTAGCTGCCTGTTTGATTCTGCTGCTCAGTAAATGCAAACATCTCTTCAGCGCACAGTTATCACATGCACTTTTCTCTAACCAATAGCCATACAGACCTGGGGGAGGCTCTGACAGCCAGTCAATATGGAAACCGCTTTCTCTAGCTTGCCTTAAAGTTAAGTATCTTCTTTCCTATGAAAAAAGGAAAAGTTATTCAGTCAGAGACTCAGCGTTTCAGCTGCTACTATGAAAGCATGCCCAAGGAAGCTAGTAAATAAGTTTTGCAAGAAAAAATATGCTTTTATTCACGAAAATTCATATCCTAGAAAGCTCTTCCTTTTTCATCCAATATGGCTTCACATCAGCACCAGAACAATAGAGAGTAAAGATGCAATGAGCACCCGTTACGTATGGATACGTAAATGCAAGGCGGACCTGCAGCCTTCACCGTGAGGCCTCCTGCCTGTACTTCACCTGAGGCTGGGATTAACTGGTGGCCACCGACTGCCCTGAGGCCCAGAAGGCAGAACCAAGAAACAGCCAAACGTAGGCAAACTAAGGAAGGGGAAGGCCAACCACAGTGCCCTGGTCCAGCTGACGCCTCAGAAACTTGTTACCGTCTCGCTGTCTGTTATCCCATTTCACTTACCTGGCCACCCCTGAAATACACCCCCCACCTCCCCATACACAAGGCCCAGCAAGCAGATAACCAGGAAGAAATATCCCAACGACCTCTAAGGAGTCATCATGCCTAGTCTCCATGCATCTCCTGAAGCTAGTCTACAGAGGGCCAGTTCTTGAAACATTATTCTGCACAGAGAGCTTCGGGCGATCAGGCAGAGAGACTGACACTGGTCCTGCCTAATGTCTGCATTCTCTTCCATTATTTCCTCAAGCATAAGGATCTGTGGGTGCCACCCCAGTACACTCAGTCCCCATCTCCCTGCTGCCTATGAGCTCATGTTTTATTCATTCTCATAAGTGGCAGCCAGCACAGCACCCAACACCTACTTCTTACTCAGTACATGTTTGGAGGAATAAATAAAATTAACCTTAATATAACCCAAAATTACTGGGAACACTGAAGAACGCTGATGTGAACTAGAAAGAAGGACTTCCCAAAAATGATCCCAAATCTTTCCCTCCTCCAAACAGGAAATTCACATTAAAAACTGTAGGATCGGACTTCCCTGGTGGTCCAGTGGTTAAGAATCCGCCTTCCAATGCAAGGGATGCAGGTTAAATCCCTGGTCAGGAAACTAAGATCCCACATGCTGTGGGGCAACTAAGCCCGTGCGCCACAACTAGAGAGCCCGCGCACCGCGACTACCAAGCCCGTGCACCCTGGAGCCACGGGCCACAACTAGAGAAGCCCGCGTGCCGCAATGAAGATCCTGCGTGCCGCAACTAAGACCTGACGCGGCCAAAAAAAACAAAAAACAAAAAACTGTAGGATCGTTTTATTACCCAAACAAGCGGGGACCTGTTTTTGTCACTTACCTTGAGAGACTCATAATGGTCTTGTCTAATATCTTCATATTCTTCCAGGATCTCCTCAAAGTACTCATCTTTTAGATTCTCATCTAACAGTTGAGAACACTGAAAATGCAAGATCAAAGTTCAATAACCATAGAGCAGCGAAAGAAGATAAAACATGAGTAATACTGGTCAGTCCTAGGGTCACCTCCTTCAGGAAGCCTTCCCATACTAACATCATTTCCTCTCCCTTCACCAGTTGTGCTAATGCCTGCCTGGCTTTACAGTAAAGGGTTAACTCAGCAGGCCTGGGATGCTCCAATGTTGCATGTTACAAAGAAGAGACTGGACTTTGACCGCTCCTGGGAGATAAACTCTAAGCCCTCAGAATATCCTGCCTGATAAAGAATGTCTTTGTCTACCTGGGGCCTCAGGCCATCCCAGAAAGTTTATGCTAATGATGTGAATTATGGGGGAACTTGGCTTACGTGCTATCTAACCTCTGGAGGGGTTGAAGCCTGAGAACCCCCTAAGGTACTCAGACAGGTGAGTATGCCCTGCCTATGTGACTGGCTTCCAATAAAAGCCCAAGACACTAGGGCTCAGGCGAGCGTCCCTGGTTGGCAACACTCTGTACATGCTGTCACACATCATTAGTGGAAGAATTAAGCTCTGTCCGTATGACTCCGAGGGGAGAGACACCTGGATGCTGGTGCCTGGCCTTCTCTAGATTCCACTCAATTTTAATCTGTATCCTTTCATGGTTATAAACCGTGATTGTGAGTATAACAGTGTTTCTGAGTTCTGTGAGTCCTAGCAAATCACTGAAACTGGGGGTGGTCTTGGGGCCCCAAAACACACTGGTTAGGTACCCCCTCTTCAGGGTTTCAAAGATACTCTGTTCATCTCTCCATCACTGCATTTACCACAGGCTTCCAGCATCTGCCTAGGCATCTACCTCCCTGACTAGAGGACAGGCCCTGTGAGGGTAGGATTGCACCTTAACCACCTTCGTGCCCCTGGCTTCTAACGTGGGGCCCAGCACGTAGAAGGTGCATCCTCACAAAATGTTTGCTGATGGAATGAGGCTGATCTTCACAGTCAACCATGAGCTTGTGCTAAAATAAGAAAGGAAACTGATCATCTGAGAAAAGTGAGGCTACTCGGTAAACTGTAAAACTAGAACGAGCTAAATAGTATTTATGACTATGATTATCAAATAGGTAGAACAGCTGCCACCAAAGCTCAAAATAAAATCACAAAGGAAGAGGAAATGGCTGCTGCTGTTCACATCAGTTCCAAAATCACAGCACTGCCCCAACCCTGCATCCTCCAGCAGGATTTTCTAACACACAAAAAGGCAGGGAAGTTCAATACCATTATCTGAAATGGAAGAAGTTCGGCTGGGTGATGGCTAAAGTGCCCATCAGCTTCAAATGTCTATAATTCTGTGTGAATTGTCTGAGTATCTCTAATAAAAATCCAATCACCTGTAAGTTAGTATAAAACCAAATCACTTTATTAAGAAATATAGTATAGGCCATTGTGATAAGCCTAAAAACAGGCTCCCAAAGGGTATGCATACTAGAGTAATTCCCAGTCTTATGTGAACCTCACCTCAATGGAGTCCTCATTTAGGAAATCCAGCAGAGCTCATGAAAACAAGAAAGGATGTCTACTCCTGAGCTCCCCCAAAGTACATGCAATCACTGTTTTAAAACACTGTTGCGTTCTGCTAGAATTTAAACTCTGAGAAAGTAACTCCCCGATTTCCAGAACTTGACAGCATCCAATACAGGAACTACTGGGTAAATGGAAGGGGTTGTTGCTGTTGGCTGGTCCCTTCTACACCCCCCGTGGAGCTCCTGCTGCCAGAGCTGCGGTGACAGGCCCCTCCCTGCCCAGGCTGACTTGCTCAATGGAAACAAGCTCATGGCCAATTATATGGGCTAATCTATGTGGTCCTTCCATCACAAAACCAGAGTCCATCCTGTGTTTTCTTGCCAACCATCAGACATAGTAGAACTTTTCCTTTTTTTTCTTTTTTCTTTCTCACGGCAAATTGCAGCACAATTTACGTTGGGAATATGTTGAAAATTTATTTTCTAATTTAAAGAGGACTGAATATTCACACCTTGTTTTTTATTTTTTTTAAAAAAAGGAAAGAAAGTAAGGGGGCATCCATCATCCGGTCTAAATCTCCAACTATTATGTACGTAATTGCCACATTTTGGAACCTTTCAAATAAATACATGACACAGTAGCTAGAGTGTAAACCTGCGTCATGATCACTGCAGTGAGATCAAAAGACTCTGAACCATCAATCAATCTAAACAAATCAACCTAAACACACTGTACCACTGACTCCCGAAATGTGTCACTGGCAATTACCCAAATGATTTGCCATCAGACTTATGTCTGAGTAATTTCAAAAGGTGGCTGTTTCTTTGTATATGAGAAGAGCCAACTACTGTCGACTGCCTGGCTGGACCGAACGGTAAAAGGCACAGACACCCACGCCTCATCCTCTGCTGGCTTCCAGCTGGGTCCACGGGGCTTTAGCTCTTCCAGACGGTGGAGGAGTGTCCTCGGAAGAGAATCAAGGGACCAAGTCATTCCCAGCTAAAGTCTTCCCCGACCTGTGGGGTCAGTGTTACCACTGTGCATGCAAATGGGACCAAAGGCCTGGTCTCCAAACAGGAAATGTTCAGTCATTCATTAGCATTTGAAAACAGGAATAAGCCTTAAAGAGAGGCTCACTGGTTACTCAACCATGGACCTGACATAACCTCTTTACGATACACTAGCCAAATATAAGATCCAAAAAATTATTTTTAAATTGAGTTGTAGAAATGTAGTTTATTTGCACGTTAGTCTATCTCAATGGCAATTTAAATAACTGCAATTTTATGACTCCAGCCCGATTTAATTTTATCCTTCTTAATAAAGGGGACATTAGATATTAATGGAAACAAGTTTAACTAATGCCTCACAGAGTAAGAGCACGTGCATTCAAATCCACACCTGTTGCTTCAGGGATGTGTGGCCTCAAGAGTTACTAATCTCTTCGTTTCTGTTTCCTCACCTCTAAAATGGGGATAATGAAAGTATCTACTTCATGAGGATAAAAAAATCCATGTGAAGCACTTAGCACAGTGCTGGGTACACTATAAATATTTAATAATGTTACTGATTATTGTATAATTTTCATATAAGTAAATTCAAAGATCTGAAAGAATTCCTTTGGAAAATGGCTCAGGAAATGTGTCGCCCTGGTCCAGGCTGCGTGACAGTGCCTGGTAGTGTCACAAGTCACCAGGCCCCTCGCCTGCAAATGTGAAGGTTGGACTAGATTAATGGTGCTTAAATAGCGCTCTTCCAATGAGAACCAGGAATGGGATGAGGGGTGGAAGGGGCTGCTCTCCTTTGTATACTACTGAGTTTTCAGGGGAGACATCACTTGCAAACAAGGTTTCTGTGGCTAAAACAAACTTGGAAACCACTGCACCACATGGTCACTCAGATTCCCACAACCTATTATATCCCATTATTCAGTGAAAATAATGAAACACATAAGAAGAGACGATGTTAGGCTTCACTGATGGAGAAAAGCAGGAAAAACCACTTAGGTAAGTTCTTTATTATATTTACCAAATTCTGTGTTTTCAACATATATCTGTGAATGCTTTTCTGCCCTTGGGTAGGGTCAACTGGCCCATTCCAGATTAAACGTTTTTCTACCTGGAAATGGGTCATTAAAAAAAATTCTACATTCCTTACTACTCAGCCATAAAAAAGAACAAAATAATGCCATTTGCAGAAATATGGATGGACCAAGAGATTTTCATACTGAGTGAAGTAAATCAGAAAGAGAAAGACAAATTCCATACGATATCACCTATATGTGGAATCTAAAATAAGACACAAATGAACTTATCTATGAAACAAAAACAGAATCATGGACATACAGAACAGACTGGTGTTTGCCAAGGGGGAGGGGGTTAGAAGATGTAAGCTTTTATATAGAGAATAGATAGACAACAGAGTACTACTGTATAGCACAGAGAACTGTATTCAATGTCCTATATTCAATAATGCAAAAGAGAATCAGGCTCCCTGACTTCAGACTATACTACAAAGCTACAGTAATCAAGACAGTATGGTACTGGCACAAAAACAGAAATATACATCAATGGAACAGGATAGAAAGCCCAGAGATAAACTCACGCACATATGGTCACCTTATCTTTGATAAAGGAGGCAGGAATGTACAGTGGAGGAAAGATAGCCTCTTCAATAAGTGGTGCTGGGAAAACTGGACAGGTACATGTAAAAGTATGAAATTAGAACACTCCCTAACACCATACACAAAAATAAACTCAAAATGGATTAAAGACTTTCATGTAAGGCCAGACACTATCAAACTCTTAGAGGAAAACATAGGCAGAACACTCTGACATAAATCACAACAAGATCCTTTTTGACCCACTTCCTAGAGAAATGGAAATAAAAACAAAAATAAACAAATGAGACCTAATGAAACTTCAAATCTTTTGCATAGCAAAGGAAACCACAAACAAGACAAAAAGACAACCCTCAGAATGGGAGAAAATATTTGCAAATGAAGCAACTGACAAAGGATTAATCTTTAAAATTTATAAGCAGCTCATGCAGCTCAATATAAAAAAAACAAACAACTCAATCCAAAAATGGGCAGAAGACCTAAATAGACATTTCTCCAAAGAAGATATACAGATTGCCAACAAACACATGAAAGAATGCTCAACATCATTAATCATTAGAGAAATGCAAATCAAAACTACAATGAGGGGGCTTTCCTGGTGGCGCAGTCGTTGAGAGTCCGCCTGCCGATGCAGGGGACACAGGTTCGTGCCCCGGTCCGGGAAGATCCCACATGCCGCGGAGCGGCTGGGCCCAAGAGCCATGGCCGCTGAGCCTGCGCGTCTGGAGCCTGTGCTCCGCAACGGGACAGGCAACACAGTGAGAGGCCCGCGTACCGCAAAAAACAAAACAAAACAAAAAAAGAGATGAATGGATAAAAAAAATGTGGCACATATATACAATGGAATATTACTCATAAAAAGAAACGAAATTGAGTTATTTGTAGTGAGGTGGATGTACCC